CCATGGAGGTCTTGGGATGTGTGGGGCTTGTTTCTTGGGGGTCTGTGTGCCCCTGACAACTGCTGTTGCCCTCACAGGCATCACAGGCTGTGGCTGGGGGAAATTAAATTCAGGGAAGCTTTTTCGTGTGAGTGCAGCAGTGGCATGCTCCACTGATGACCTTGCTCCTTCTTTTTCCTTGCTTGGGGACCGATCATGATGGGAAGCATCTGCCAAGGCCATGACAGCATGGAGGAGAGCACACCAACACTGGTTTGTGGAGGGACATGTGCTGTGGCAGAGGTCAGCAATCTTGCCTTGTCCCTAAAGGGTTAGGGGGGCCTGGGAGACCTGCGAGAGACCCAAGGTCCCCTTGTGAGTTGCCCTGAGTGGAGCCTTGTGAGTCTTCATCATGTCCTCCACAGTGGAGTCAAGAGGGAACTCTGGAGTTGTGGCACTGTGGAGTTGCGGGTGGCTTGATACATGGGAGTCTGTGGTGCGATGGCGCCTGCTGACGGCCTCGCTCCTCTTTTCCCTCCACTCAGTGGCCAAGCGTGGCTGTGAGCATCTCCCCGGGATGTTCCACACAGGTGCCGTGCAACGTGAAGGTGAGCATCACCTTTGAAGGAACCTTAGGCACGGCCCGGGTGAGTGTCCATGTGTGGTGCACCAGAGGCAGGAAGTTCTGGGGAGATCTGGGAGATGCCAGAGGAGCCTCTCAGTGATGCCACCTCATCCTGGAGGATCTCTGTGGTGTGCCCCAGGTCAGAAGAAGGGCATCATAACCAAGGGCTGGGGATTGTGGGTCTTGGGACTCTCGCTTTTTGTGTGTCAGCACTGGCATCCTCCTCACATGGCCTCGCTCCTCGTTTTCCTTGTCCTGTGGCTGAGCACGGTGGGTGCAGCTGCCCAGGACATCCCAAGGACTGGGGTGTGCAGGGAGGACCTGATCACAGCGCAGGTGAGCAGGTGCGTGCGGGGACCCAGGAGTCAGGGGATGCTGGAGAGACGTGGGAGAGGCCTGTGGGCCCTTTGGATGCTCCCACCTGCTGCCTTAGGAGCTTGATGGGTTGGCCAGAGCAGCATGGCTGGATTTCCCTGGGGCAAGTGAATTTGAGTCATGGGCTATTTTTTCTCCGGGCTCTGTGCCCTGCTGGCACCTGCTGGTGGCCTCACTTCTCCTTCACATCAGTAAAGTGTGGTGCAGTCATCCCCCCAGGATATCCAATGCCAGTGTCATTCAGCATTTGTGTAAGCATCAACGTTGGTGTCCGAAGGCGGCCTTGGCCACAGCACAGGTAATGTGCAGATCTCCAGGGGACAGTGGTTATTGGGGAGGTTTGAAAGCATCCCCTGGTCCTTTAGGTAGTGCAAGCCGGTCCTCGTGGATCTCTATGGAGTGCCCAAGAGCAAAGAAAGGGCATCATCGCCTAGGGCCTGGTAATTTGGGTCCTGAAGGTCTTGTTTCTTGTGGGGCATCACTGGCCTCCTCCTTACATAGCCTTGCTCCTCTTTTTTTCTTTCATGGTGGCTGAGCACGGTGGGGAGCAGCTCTCCAGAATGTCCCAATGTTTGGAGTGCGAAGGGCACACTTGCCCACAGCACAGCTCAGCAGCAGGGGTTTTTGGGGCTTGGTGCTTTGGGTGATGGTGGTCCTGTCTCTTGGGGGGCAGCACTGGCATCCTCCACCCATAGCCTCACTCTTTTTTATTTGAATGCTGGATGAGCATAGCAACAACAAGCAGCGATTGAGGACATCCTGGATCCAAGCACTTCCACTGTAGTAGATGTGAGCGGCCGCATGACAGGTGTGTGTGTGTGGGCTCGTGGGATAGGCAGGAGAATCCCAAGGACGCTTTTGGGTAGTGCGTACTGGTCCTTGGGGATCTCTGTGGAGTGCCTCTGGCCATAGACAAGGCATCATGGCCTGAGGCCAGGGAATTTTGGTCCTGTGGGTCTTGTTTTTTGGGGAGCAGTATTAGCATCCTCCAGTCATGGCCTCATTCTTTTTCTTGGATTTCAGCAATGAGCAGCAGCTGAGTACATCCTGGGACCAAGCACCTTCACGTTGGAGGCACTCACGCAGCATGCAGAGGGGGCTCCACTGCAGCAGAGGATACTGTGATTCTCAAGTGCTACTTCCTTTTGTTGTGTATGTTTTATACTTGAATAAGTGCCATGGTTGTATCTGGAAATGTTTGGAGCGCAATGTCAGTAAAAGGAGAGAATGCTACAGACATGGCCTTAAAAATTACTTTTATTAGAATTCTGTGCACATGACTTCACTGTGTTGTGTATACCCTCGTTCTTTGGCTATTGTAGAACCACACATATTATTTTGACAAAACATGTTTTCTAAATAAAAGATACTACCAAAATCATGCTACTCTATTCCTGCTCTTTGTCTGAAATTTAGACCCTACTTTTTCTGATAATTGGTTTAAATAAAAAGTTTAATGCTTGTATGAAATAACTGTGCATCCTGGGTATACTTAGAAAGAACTCATTGTGCAAAAATAGCTCTTTTTGGAGTTTGCTATGAGTGCTTATTTTTGTCTTTTTTTTCCCCTTGGACTTTAGTATTGTATTTTATCTTACCATCCTTTAAACATCGGTTTCTCTCACATATTTTCTTTTCGTCTTATAAATCTATGAGGTCTGTTTCGACAGACACTGTGTGACAAAAATGATTGGTGCAACAAAAATCTCTAATTTGGTGTGTATATGAGACGATATATCAGCCTTTGCCACACTGCTGCAGTTCTCAGAAAAGTCCTGAATGCACATGTGATTTCTTCTGGACTAATGTGTCTGTATAGTGGCTGTTTTTCCTGTTCAAAACTAGGTCGTTCCAGAAATTTTGTAGTAGCAGCGCTGTTTCCTTCTGAAAGGCCAAGTGACTACAGAAAGGTGTCAAAAGGATCTGCTTCGCTTTGCTAGTTTAACAAGTAACCAGAAAACAATTTCAGATCAGCACAATGTTTTGTGAAGTGCATAGTACTAACACAGTTTGAGTCTTAGGATATCTCTGCAAGAGAAGACCCAACGCTTTGTGGCATATGAGCTTAAGACGGTAATATATAAATGATTTTTTAAAATTTTACTAAACTTTGTTAACTAAAAGTATGATAGAGGTTATTTTTCCACTGTTGTTTTGGGATAGTTTCTGTCATCCTTCTGGTCCAAAGATTTATACATCCCAGTTAAAAATACTCTCGTACAATAACTGTGTTTTATGTAAAGAAGCATGCTTTGCATGAGGATGTTAAGTTATTGTGACGGTATGTTTTAACAATAGCTTTTATCTTTTTATCCTGTCACTGAGGATTATTTTCAAAAATTGAGATTTTCAGGCAAAAAATTGTAATGGTCCTTGAGCAAGTGTTCTAAAGGTCATATAGCATCCTGCATAACCAGCTGGAGAAGTAAATGTATATTTAGACATTTTATGCATCTGTTGCCCCCACAACCAAAGCAGTAACTTGCAGTGAACATTTCAGCCTGCTGATCACTAAGCCCCCAGACTAGTTCTGTTTCTCAGTTAAGGGTTCCTCTGAGGCAAACTCCTCTTGAATTGTGTCCTGCACCTCTGCAAGGCCAACTCCATGAGCAGCTTTCCTGTAAAAAACAGCATCATGATCTGCTGCTTCCTCTCCAGGCGTGATGAGGAGAAGGATCCATCAAGCAGATACAGGAAACATTATTTTTGGTACTCTGACACTGACTGGAAGAAAATTAAGCTGGAAGCCAGTCAGAGAAGGTGGTGGTTTTTTCTTTTAAAAGACATACAGAAATGTGCTGTGATATCCAGAGAGGGAAGATGCCTTGCTCACATCGCAGCCTTTTGTAGGGCTGCTGATATCAGCTGGTAGAATAAAATCACACCAAGAAAAGTGTGGTTTTCACTCACATAGCAGAGAAAAGGTGTATTTGAGAGGGATTGTTTTCTGACATTATCTTCCACGGAAGTGGCACAATAGGATTATTGCTTATTAATATAGAGACATTGTGTTACTCTATCTGTAGAAAATAGAATGATTCTAATGGAGATTGAATATCTCTACATTAACATTTAGCAAAACGGAACCATTCTATACTGCAAAACTTTTAGCCAAGCCACACTGACCAAGTCTGTGGACTGTAAATATGAAATCCAACCACACTGAAACCCACTGAAATGTGAAATCCAACCCCAACCCCTACAGACTACATGGGGAGCAAGATTTTTTCCCTAATAGCTCAGAATGTACTGTGTGATCCAAGAGATCAGAGGTGTTTCAGATTAAGCAGAGCTGCAGCATGGCAACAATGAAGAAGCAGCAGAACTAAGGATGGGCCCCTAAAACCATATGATTGCCAGCTTGGAGAATGAATTTTCCCTCATTCCCCAACAACCAGTGCTTCCCAGATGAAAAAGAAAAAAAATACATTCTGTTAACCTATTAATTTAGAGAACAGTCCAGACATTGCGCTCGTGAGAGGTAACATAATTACAGTTTATTTTATTAAATGCAGTACAGCATCATAAGACTGTGAAGAGATATCTGTCAAACCTGAGAAGTGAGTATCACAGCCACATAAACAAGAAAATATCCCCAAAACACGAAGGTACTGAAAACAAGAAAGTACTGAAGAGCTTATAGTGACCCAGGTAAAAATAGTAAAATTCTCCTAGATGCTTTGGGATGCGCTGATACTAGTGTTAGCTTGTAACAAATATATTGTAGATTTGAATTCATGTCTATCTGGTTTATCTGCTTGTCACAAGATCATAACGTAATTACATGTGGAAGAAGTCTAGGAAATAAGTAATAATATGTTTACTCAACATGTATACTATTCAGTAATGAGTCACTAATACCAGGGAAAAAAAGCTCTTGAAACTAATTTCAGCTCCTTCTGTGTATGTTAACACTTGAAAGTACACTTTAGTCTTTTCTGTTGGATTACCTAGCAAAATTACTGGAAACCTTTACTTTCAAATTCCCTTTCCCCTTACCCATTTTCCTCTTTGAAAGCCCTCACGCGAAATCCTTTGAAACGGCCTCTATAAAATTCGGGGCCGACATGAGTATCGTAAACGTGCAGATGATGGCGAAGAGGGTGAACGCAACCAGGCAGAGCCGGTCTATCACGGCCGCCGCGAACTTCCACTCGCTGCAGATTTCCTCGCCCTCGTCCTGCTTCCTGAAGCGCGTGGCGATGAACTGCACCTCCTCGAGGATCTTCAGCATCACCGGCAGGGCGTCCGCGACATCCCTCTTGGCCACAAAGCGGGTGTCCTCCGGCAGGGCCCGGCCCGCGTCGCGGCCCCGGGGGCTTGGGGCAGCTGCAGAGCACGCTGCCGTTGCTCGACTGCTGCCCGGGCAGGAGGTGCACCTCAGCGCTGTGCGCGCTCGCGGGGTGCTTGCCGTAGCCGTACTTGCAGGAGAGCGGCTTTATGCTTTCCCCAGGCTTCTTCATCCGCAGAAACCAGGCGCACCAGTTGAGGAGGATGACGCGGACCTGAAAGCGCAATCAGAGCATGAGCGGAGCCAGCGTTTTGACATTTCCTGAAGCATTTAGTGGCAGCTATAGCCACAGAATCATAGAATCATAGTATCACTATGCTTGGAAAAGACCTTCAAGATCATCGAGCCCAACCGTAAACCCATCCCCACCACTCCTGCTAAACCACGTCCCTAAGCACCTCATCTATATGTCTCTTGAACACTGCCAGTCGCGTGGACCCCACCACTTCCCTGGGCAGCCTGTTCCAAGGCTTCACTGCTCCTTCCATGCACAAATATTTCCTTATGTCTACCCTGAGTCTCTCCTGGCACAACTTGAGTATGTTCAAATGGTAAGTCTCTCCGTTTGCTACATTCACCAGCTAAGCGAGGTTTTCCAGATCTGGGCCATTTCCCAAAATGACATTTTCAGACCTACTTTGGGCACACTGGTGTTCAATGCCCAACAGCTCAGAGAGCAAAGGAGATTGAAGGTGTTCACTTTCCAGAAAGACCCTTGGCCTCCTTCTTTTGCGAGCAATCCTGGATTTAAGTGATGGAGCAGAAGGCACAAAGTTGGCTGCATCCTCTTACAACCTCTTCTCAGTTTACAGGGAGAGATATAATCTTAAAGATTCTTAGATTGTGCTGATTATGCTGACTATGCTGACAATGCTGGACAGACTACCTGAATTCTTTTGCATAAGCCCTCTCTGAAACCCCTACTGTTTAAGTGTATGTAAACGGCCTTTATTATTATTATTATTTGAAAGCTATTGCAATGCTGTTTTAAGCTCAGTCACACACACAGCAGGCCTTTTTCTCCAAAAACAACAGCAGTTGATCAATTAAATTAGGCAGTTCAAAATTTGGATGTTATTATTAACAGCTGTAATTTCCTCATGCTTTGGGGTAAAACTAGCTACTTTAACAGTTCATGGGAGCTTTCTAACCTGCGCACAGCCGTTTATGAGGCAAATATTTCCCATTAAGTTTGTCAGATGAGCTAGCTCAGGAGAGCACATCCAGCATTTTCCCTGTGATCTGATCTTCACATCTCTTCTCTGAACCCTGAGCTTACTAGATTTCCCATTTTTAGTGCTGATGGAATAGGAAGGCAAACAGCAGCAAACTAAATAAGCAAAATTTGGTAACTGTAAAATCCTCCAAAGAACACGTAAACAGGAATGGATATTGGCAAGGGGCTGGCAAGAGTCACTCTAGGAATACCGGTGGCCTCTTCAATTAATTGTTCATTCTGGTTGCAACCAAATTATCTTCTTTTCAAGAAAAAAGAAAGAAAGAAAGAAAGCACAGAATGGCATCTGGCTTCACTCCTCCACCCAGCATTGCCCTTAGGACGCTGCTTCTGCAACTGTGGCCATGCAAGCCCCAGGGCCACCCCTTGTTCATGAGGCAGTGTCAGAGAGCGGCTGAGTTGCTGTCTCCTGCATTTGCACTGCGTTGTCTCCTGTGTTTGGACCATGTAGAGGGCAAAATGCTGCCTGTGCTTTGCTGTAATGATAAGCATAACTTCACAGAGGAGGAGGCACTAATTGCCACAGCAGGGAGCAATAATAGTAAAACACAAAAGCCAAGACGAGTGGAAGATGGTTATGCAGTTCTTAAGTTTTGCAGTGGGAGTTCTTCTGGCTCACAGCCTTGTGCTCCTTTCCCCTGGGTCCTTCTGCCTTCCTCCTTCTAATGCATCTTTTATTCCTCACCCTGAAAAGCCATTTTCACGAGTTTCAAATTATTCTGCTTTCACCGTTGGCTTTAAATGTTTTATTATTTCCTCCATGGTCACCACAGACAAACGCAAAACTATAACGTAGCAGGTTAAAAATAATCCATCCTGGATTTAATTGAACTTCCTTAATTAAAATGTCCTCTGACTGCTTATGGACACATGATTACATATCATCATGGAACGATATAAAGGCTTTAATTGCTAACAATATTTCAACAGTATTGGTGGTGAGGATAGAGGGAACTTTATTCTGCCATAATGTGAAATTTCAAAACACTAGACCAGGCAAACTTTCTTATTAGAAAATGTTAATTATGTCTGCCTTCGTTCTTCAAGGAGATGTGGAGGGGAAGCTCTATTCTGCAGAAATATCCAATTCCATCAAAGGTGGAAAAACATCCCATAATCGTTAACAAGGTTAGAGCTCTGCAAAACACTGATGTGTGGCTCTGCTGGGGATATGTGCAGGGAGTGAGTAGTTCTGGGGGTATCTGCTGAGCCTGGAATTGCAGAGAGTAAATTTCAGGTACACAATTTCCTTCTCTCTTCACATAGGCATCCTAATATGTTGCTGCTTTTATAGCAAAAAACTACATGCCTTGGGGGGGAAAAAAAAAAAAGGAAAAAAGAAAAAAAGGAAGAAAAAGGAGGTAAACAGGTAAACAGGCCCTGAAAGATGCTGTAAGAATAAAATCAAAATCAGGACTGTGCCGTAAATCCTAATGGCTGAGCAATGGCCATGGTTTGCAGAGACCTTGTGACCTGTCACTATCGAGGCATCAGTCTCTTCCCACACAACTGGAATTCACCACTTTTGCCTGGAAATTGTCCAGCCCAGTCTGCTTGCCTGGACTACAGCTATTGCAGTCTGTTGTTTGGACTCTCCACTGATGCCTTCTGCAGGCTTTGCTTCCTGATAGTAGTATTTTTAAGTGTGTGGCAGTTCCTGGCAGGCCATTGAGCTTTGTTGTTGAAGACTGAGAATCCCTTGCATGCAACATTTCTAACCAAAAAATAGTGGACCTTAGCAGGTTTGTGGCAAAATCACACAGTACGTGACTAGATCTTTCTTACCGGTAGATCCTACCTTGTCATTCTTTGACTAGCTGCTGTCAAATGCAGACTGTATGGGTGTTGTGTTCAGAAATACATTCACCATTGTCTTGGACGAAGGCACAGTGAAGGCACAGCGCAATCCTTCATGCAAGACTGGGAGGAGTGATTGATACCCCAGGGCTGTGTTGCTGTTCTGAGGGACCTCAACTGGCTGGAGAGTTGGGCTGACAGTAACTTCATGAGGTTCAACCAAGGGGACTGCAGAGTCCTGCCCGGAGGGAGGAATAACTGCACACACCAGGACAGGCTGGGTGTGACCTGCTGGAGAGCAGCTCTGCAGAGAGCGACCTGGAGGTCCTGGTGGGCAAGATGTCCATGAGCCTCCAGTGTGCCCTTGTGGCCAAGAAGGCCAGTGATGTTCTGGGTTACACAAGCAAGAAGGCTGCCAGCAGGTAGAGGAAGCGATGGGGGTCACATCTGGAGTACTGCCATAGTTCTGGGCTTTCCAGTACACAGTCAACCCCTATTTTCCTCTACATCTAGCCAAGAATCTTTTGTCAAATATGTTTCTACACATCTTCTTGCCAATGACAAAAGAAAAATCCTCTCTTTTCTAGAAGTGGGCTGAGCTGTGTACCTCTCCCAAACATATACGGGAGAATGGACCCATGATTCCACACTTCCCATGATTGTTCAAATCTTTTTTACTTTTTTATTGCATTTTTCACTATAGATTCCTTGGATTCACTCTTTAGGAAGGAAGTCCTTTCAGTACTCCAGGATGGGCACAGCAGTTTCCACTCCTATGGATTGCCCCAATTCTTGCAGGAACTCCAGGAAGCTCCAAATGACTGATAGGAAAGAATAAAATCCTCTCCCCGGTAGTTTTCAGATATACATCATTTCTGTGTTCTGAAGTTTGTAAGCAACAAGTCAGGTTTGATAGCTTGTTGTAGAAATGCAAGAGTTCTTCTTGCTTTGTCCTACAGAATGGATGATTCGTGCGATGAAGGCCTGGTTTCACGGGTCTAGTTAGGTATAATGCCAAATCCCGGTATACTGTAGAGGCAGCTAGTCCTGTGTTAGCATGCAACATTCATTTGTCACAGAGATCTGCAGAACTGTTTTCTTAGGCTTGTCCTGTTTCTCGGGAGACTTCGAAAAGAATCAGGAATGATAATTTCCTCCAATGTGTAATCATCACAGTGAATTAACACATAGTGATTGAAAACATATTGAAGAATCAAGTTAATGGAGATGGCCTCAGACAGATGGCTCCTTGATGGTCTGACAAGGAGCAAGAATTGGGTGGCAGGGACCGTGAGCATATTTAATATGATGTCTCAGATCATGCCCTGACTTCTAAGAAGGCAAAAGACACAGCACAATTGTCCAAGGGATGTTGTGCTGCTGCAGACTCTGTCCATCTGGATATCAGAAGCATGTTTATCCAGACTGCTGTCCCTAAGTGCTGCTTACGCAGAGCAAGCCAATCTAGAATTCAACTGTTGTGCATCCTTGCAACTGAGCTCTTCTTAATTTACATAGCATTTAAGGAAGTGTTTAGTAGGTATGCTCAATGTAGCTTTTTTTTTTTTAATTTGCATTGACACTATAATTGATTTTTAAAGAAGATATATCAGTTCTATTTCGGAAACTAACATTGGTAGCCAAGTGAAATTTCACATCACGTCAAGATAATTGTCCAGCATGCCAAATAAATAGAGGATGCGGTAAAAGCAAATTTCTTTGAAACCAGGTGACAGTGACTATTGGAATCTGCTTCAGCTTTCGTTGTTTTTCCTTTGTAGTAGCAGTGTGTTCCCTGCTTATCCTAAAATCCATTCTTGGGAATGTGCAAGAAAAAAAAAGGTTTTTATTTTTAGCTTGAAAATCAGTTGTTGAATATTTACGACCAAAGCTGCTTACCCATCTGGGCATCTTTCCTGCTTGAGGGTCATGATGATGAAACTGTAAAACCAGCACTGTTACCACCACAGACAGACCAACGATGACCATAATGCTTGCGAAATATTGAGCTGCAATAGAAAGGAGAATTTCCATTAGGTGAGAAAAAAAAAAAGCAAATAACATTCCTCAGCCAGCCCCTGAGAGCCGTCCTGTGTCACATCCAAACACCCTGTTCTTGGTACTAGCAGCATTGCTGAAGGGATGTGCTTTGTTCATTGGGTTGCAGGACCCCCCGGCAAAGTGTGACCATGACACCATTTCTTTACCTGCTCTCCCCATCTTCACTGCATCTTTTTCAGCATCTTCTTCCACAACCTCCCTCAAGCCCAAGTCTCCTGAGTTCCAGCTGTATTCTCACCTTATGGCTACATCTAAGCCTGCCGTGCTGGGGAGAAGACCCTCAAAGACCCTCAAAGCCAGAACTGCAACTAATTTAAGCCCCGGTACAGCCTTCTCATGCTGGGAGTTATGTTGAAGCACTGGAAAGTAAAGAAGAAATGCCCACAGAGCTCACATTTGAAGACTACTGTGCAAAACACTAGGGATCATGACAGCTGGATCATAGGGAGCGAGGTGGGACAACTCGTGACACTGACTTTGCTCATAACCTCCTCCCTGCCCACTCTTCCCTGACGAGCCATGCAGGAGAAGTCAAGGATTTTAATGATGACTCCAAGGCAAGTTCTGTGCCAGGCTTTGTTTCCTAAGACCGCTTTCCTTAGCAGCAAAGAGCGTATTTTTAATAAGGAGGTCCCAGTGCCTTCCTGAAACCAATGCTATAACTGCTCCAGGAGGTTTGCATGGCTTTCCATGGCAAAATGAATTATGCAGCTGGGTTAGCAGAATACTCCTGAGGGCAAGGTGAATGGAAAGGTCTCTCTTACGCTTACTTATGGAAGAATAAAGCCAACAGTGGTGCAGAAACAGAACAAACCATGAATTCAGTTTAGAAAAGGTGTCTGATCTGACTCCAAAATGCATCATATAACAGGAACAGATCCATGTTGCTATCACTAGTATAATTACTGCCACAAGTCACTAAATCCTGCAGTAAATTCTATGCATTTAGATGCTACCAATAAGACTTTCCGGCCTAAAGTGGTCAATTAAAAACATCTTTGGCTTGGATTTTTCATAGACCCTTGAAAAATTAACATAGAACCTGATCTCTTTCAGGCATGATGTGTCTGCTCTTTTATTGCTGATTTCCTTCTGTTTCTTTGCCAGGGGAGGTATGACATGACACACTACCTGGACACCTGCTCTAACACCTGGGAGCTGCCAGGCTCAGTCTCAGCATTGCCAGAAGAGGACCAGGTGCTGTAGTCATGGCAAACACATATCTAATAGAGCCACAGACACTTCTTAAATGATCAGTGATGACAACAGCTGCTTCTTTTTGCAAACATCCTCTGACACTGTAGAGCAAAACCTGTGTCAAAAGGATGGCCTTGAATTGCAATCCAAGGCTTTAGGACCTTCAATACTGTCGGTATCATTTTAGGACATTCTTTACCTAACATCAAGGAAGCACCTTAAGATTATTTTAGAGATGTTTTGGAAGACCTTTCACTCGAGTGAAACTTGATTAACCTTAAGGACTGGTAGTAAAACAAGGTATATAAAACAGAAACCCTAAGAAAGGCAAGAAGATCCCACAGGGATGCTTTGCTTTGTTGGAATTATTACTGAACACTTACAAGGAAATCAGTGTGTTATCCAGATTTATTAACCCAGTTAATCAAGAGGCAGAGCTTCCCCACTGTGGCAAGTTATAGTCCTGGTTTTATTATTGAAATGATGGAGGAGGAAGGGAAGTGTCATACTCAGGTATTCCCAGAGGCTGGGCTAGATATATCCCATCCAATTCTTTTTTTTTTTTTTTTCATGGAGAAAGTTGCAACACTCATTGCTTTGGGAAGAGCACATTTAACACAGAGTCAAAAACTGTAAAGAACTGCTGAGAACTGAGAACATCTGACGCCTGGGAGAGGCTGAGGAGAGGCCTGGAGTCAGCGAGCAGGCAGGAAGGAGCATTAAAGGGCAGGAAGAAAAGCACATAGTAGAATCAAAAGGAGGCAGAGAAAAACTGAAAGGGTGGATGTGAAAGCAGCAGCAGCTGAGGAGATACAGGCACATGAGAGAAAATGTAAAAGAAGATTAATCTCATCTTCTTCATCTAGTCAGAACCACTAGTGGCTTTTGTTCTTAACTTAAAACAATCTGTAATTCTTGGAGGGGGTGAAGCACGAGACTGCTTCCTTGTCTCAGCAATTTGCAGACTGGCTTGTTGTGTGACTGAACTGCAAGAAGTCACCCAAGCAGCTGGTGAAAGCATATTTATCCACAGCTTCTTCTTTACTGAAATAAAATAAATATGATGAAGAAGACCGAGAAGGAGACAAGGCTGTAAATATGTTAGACTACTAGAGCCCTGAGTAGCAAGTAAGCATTATGAATTTAGAACAAGGAAGCGGGTGAGCATTGTCAAAGAAGAGGACAGACGGAAATGCAGTTTATACTACCTGGAGGTGGCAATAACTCATTTTTTTGCATGGTATTTGATATGTCCAACCCAGGTGTCAAGATTTGTGTGGGTGCTAATATGGACTGAGGAAGTGACTGTTCCTTGTATTCATGCGTCCCAAATTTCGTCTTTTCAAACAATGTATGAGCACACCATTTTTCAGGTGGTCCACACTTTCTGCAATAAACCACCTTTTAGATCAAAATACAGGTTCTTGACCTAAAAGTCATGGCACTACTCTGAAGCGAGCTGTCAGGAAATAATGATTTGCACTGCTTTGGAGTTTACTTGGGGATGTATTAAAAGAAAAGAGAAAAGCGAGATGTTTAACATGTCTCCATGCTCAACAGAATGTCTGGACACTCTAGGCCTGTAGAGTGCTTGTGGAAGAAACAAATCACCTGACTGGTTTGAAGGGTCTGAACACTTCACTTTTACACTTCATTTTTAGGGTTTGGCTAAAAGAACCAGAACGTGCCCTTATCTGACGTGACAAAACGCTCTGGCCTCAATACCTCCCCCATGCACCATCGAGGGAGAGCAGCCAGCGCTGAGCTTACTGCAGCCGTGGGCTGAGTTCAGCCCTGCCTGCTGCTGCTTCACTGCATGACCACGTTTCCTCAGCCATCTGGGGCTGATCTGAAGGACCACGGTCTGCAATCGGTGTGCGTTGCGTCAAGGGGAGCGGAGGAAACAGCCAGACAAGGCCAGGTTTGCTAAGTAGATGTTTTAGGGTTTAGCACCTTATGACCCATTTTCTTGCAGCAGTGGGACTGCTAGAGGGGAGATGTGGTCAAGGTAGAGGCCGAAGAGGGGACAGAGATCCATGTCACACTCCTCACTCATGAGGAGACACAAACCTGCCTTGACCAGGGCTAGCGATTTAGTAGTGTTTCTTGAATAAATTTTCTTAAAGGAACGTTTCCTAAAGAATCACCACTAAAATAGGCTGGTTCATCTACGTCTGAAAACATGTAAAATAGGTTGCATCACCCAGGTCTGTAGGCATCCAGGATCACGGAGGAGGAACAGGGACCTCTGCAACCCTGTCCACGCCATACGGTGTGGCCTGAGGTGTTTCACCCCGGGGTGATATTGCATGCCTGGGTGAGGAAGCGGTGCTGTTACACTGCATTGCCTTGAATCCCTCAGAGCCATTGCTGACTGCGATGGGAGATGGATTCATCTCTCCTTCAGCAAAGATCTCGATTTTTTTTTGCTAGGTAACTAAATGCTACATTATAAGCAGAGTTTTTTAAGGTGCTCAGTCCCTGAGTCCAACCTTGCAGCCCATCCTGAGACATTGATTTTTGAAAACATGCCTGCAGCAATGCAAGATTAATGAGATCCCAGTGACTGTTTTATCAGGGCCTGCTGGAAGCACGTAAGCATGATCTTCAGTTGTATAATCTTAAGGAGGCTCTCCTAAAAGGATAACGGCTAAGGGGCAGAGTTACAGTTAGGAATATGACTTGATCTGGGGAAACTACCTTCCTCGTTACTTCTTAATGCATGATTTGCTACCCCTAATTACAAGATCGCTCTCAAACAAGGAATATAGTGTAATGAGGTCTGGGATATGCAGACTGCAAATAAGGAGGCACAATGCTCTTTGAAAAAAAGAATTCAGGCGTATGCCTATTGCCTATGGGATGGATTGATCCTTCTTCAGAGGCGGCCACAAGGCCATTACCAAAAATGAACTTGAGCATCCAGTGCTGTTTACATGAATTATGCTTTGTTAAAACAAAGAAGCCCTAGCAGTTTATGTCTGGATGCCATAAATGTCATTATCACACGAATTACCTAAACTCCTAGTTTGAATTTACAGCATCAGAATTTGCACAGAAGCTCTAATTTAAATTATATTATTTGTGCAGTTTCAAATTGGTCCCTGAACTGGACTTATGCGTGGATCTCCCTCCTCATATAATGCCCTCAGTTGCTGTACAAGCTTATTATGCATTAAGGGCAGGACATCTCCATGAAATCACTGGCTTTTTAAGTGAGAAACAAATACATGTGCAAGTTAATAGGCTTACAGAAATGTGGTGGAGCAAATGCTATCATATCTCTGAGCTGCATGGCTCAGGCTTTGGGATTTCACCCAGTGATAGTGCCACCAGCTCAGTAATTTCAGGTGTGTAACACCTCTGGAGTTCTCTGCATTTCTCTAAGTTTCTTCCTTATGGGATGATCTCCAGCTGTCTAGCTACACTGGCTTTTTATAAATATATTTTTTAAAGAGAGAAGTTAAAAATAGGTCAAATCATGAGCTCAGACATAGTGCCCATGGGGCAAGATGAAGCCGCCCCGGGATGAGTAAGTTTAGGACACATCTGCTGCTGTATAATCATGGTCTGAACGTCTGCTCAGGAGCTTCCAGCACCAGCAGGCACCTCCAGGGCCCAGCAGCGAAACAAGCCTTGCTCATATAATCAACTTGTGCTGAATTCTGGCCAAACCATTGTGTTTGTAAATGCCATGGGACGTAAATGCTCTGATCCAAATGACTGAGCTGGTTTCTTTTGCTATGGGTGGTTAATTTTTTAAACATAAGTAGAAGCATCCTTGCCTTGGTTCCCAGGCTTTTACCAACATCATGGATGAGTTTGCAGAAGCCCTTCAGTTTTTGAAAGATTGCAATGTCTTGTATGGCACATATGCAATGCTGCTGAAAACTAAGCTCTGAAAACTCCTATTTCCCCCAAACAGGGGGAATTTTCTGGAGAACAGCAGCAAGGGGATAAATGCAGTCACTCAGACTCCTAATTGGAGCATTCTGCCTCACTGAGTAAAAGAAGACTCCAGCAGACATCATCCCATGGGGTAGCAAAGACACTGAGCTCTGATTTCTAGGCCACGTTTTGCCACTTGCTCCTTACAGGTGAAAAGAAAAATAAAAATCTGCTTGCTGTTAGTGTGAATCTATTGGGCTGCACAGAAAACTGGAGTCCATCGTGCAAGCAGTTGCATGTGGTGAGGGAGAAAGTCTACTGTGGGAAGTTTCACAGAGTTATTGCAAAAGACAAGGCAAGGGAAGGGAGGGAGATGCTTTGCAGGCAGGTTAGAGCAGGGAGAAGCAGGTGCCCTGCCCCTTAAGCTCACTTAGGCTGGAAGGTGCCTCGTTTATTGAAAATACCAGTTGAGGTCAAGAGAGAGCAGCCTCGCTTAAAAAGGATCAAGATGCAATTTCCTCATTTTTTTGCAAATAGATCAGACATGAGAAGTCAGTTCCTTTCGTCATGTTATATCAGAGCAGCTTTCCTCTGTACCCCTAACAATGACTGCAAACTGCAGCTCTGCTTTCTTCTCACGATCTCACTGTTACGTAAACACTGAGGTCAAATGGCAGAGGAAAGTAAGATATATAGCATTTTAGGGACCAGTGTTGTGGGACAGGCAAAAACTGGGAGTATTCACACAGGTCCAGAAGAATGCAAGTTTAGTTTTTAAAACCCAAGTCCTAACAGTACAAAGCCAAGTGTATGGGTCAGAGGAACTCTACTCCCATGCACAGGAAGACCAGCAACAGTGATTTTTCCTGCAGAACAGCAGTTGATCTGTCAGGATCATATTGCTTGCAATCCTCTTTAAACTGCATGTTCTAGGAGATTCATTTATTATTGTAGCTTGGTGCTAGTCATGGAGATTCTCCAAGAACTGAGCAAGCTGTCCAAGAGTCCACCCCTTCCTCCTGAAGGATTTTCAGCCAGAACTGGATCACATTGGAAAACTGCAATCATCCTGGTATTGCCTTCAAGACGCCTGGCAGTATTCTGAGATGACCTATTCTGGGACTTCTAGGAATATGGATTTAAAACTAAGCACTCTGTGCAAGAGAGTTTGCAAGTTTTAAGGCATGCCAACCCAGACTGCCTGGTTTTACTCAAAACTCAGTTTGCTTTTGGGCCGTAACATGGGAACATTGAGCGAGAGTAGCCAGGGGATTGCTCTAGGCATCCTTTTGCTGGATAGCTCAAATCAGTCTCCAGGGTCCATGTATTAGAATTATTCTTTACAGCGTTTTACAGTATGAAATTTGTTTAATGAACGGATGAAAGGAACAGACTGTCTTTAACCTACATGACAACTTTGAAAGGTGCGTTTCTAATGCATTTGATATGCTCCAATTATTTAGGCATTATGAAAAAATAGCAATAACACAAGTTGCCAACAAGGCATATTTAATATATTAATAGTGAGAAGAGAATCCTTCATCATATTTTTGGCTCTGTGATCCAGAAATAATGAAAAGGTGTGAGAACTCCTAATACTTGAGCCAACAGTCCCCCGGAGAAAGGGACTTGACCCAGTAGACTTCCCCACTACCCTGATGATCTTTGATATTGATACATTCACAACTAATTAACTAGAAACTTGCTATTACAGCATCAAAATCTGTAAGAATGCATAACTCTTTATAGCTTTCCTTGGCCCAGATCATCTTATCTTCTCTAGTAGGGGCTTGTATTAGAAGGAACTGGTCTAGATAAAGCTATTGCAGTCAGCATAGAAAAGTGTACCCCTGTAATTTAATTCCAAATTTTTCTTTTGTTTTGTTACAACTGTAGCTGCCTCTGCAGATCCTAGATACAGGTATGGCTGGGGGGACTTGTTAACTTTCTGGAAGCCCATCTTACTTGGGATAACAGTCATGCTGACTTTCAGTAAGGCGCCCAATTTATTTGGAGTCTTTCAGAAACTTTTGAGCACGCTGCATAGCCCTGTGAGTCACCAACCTTACAGACTGCTAGGTCTATCTAACTCCCAGACGTTAGATAATGAGGTTGTCTGACTAAACATCATTTTGTTCTTTTCATGGTCTGCCTCATTGCAGGCTTTAGTTATACAGTGATGAGGCACACCATACATCAGCATCTAGATGTATTGTTTAATTTTGTTTGTTCATTTATACTGTCCTTTCCTGTGTGGGCATGTGTGTGTGTTCAGCACTTGGTGTTATGCACCTTCATCTGGAGCCTTCTGATGACACTACACTAATAATAAGAGCAATAATCCACCATTCTGAGTCCTGGTAAGGTCTTTAAGATATTTCCATGGCTACCTCTTAGGCTAAGGCTATAATAAAAAGGCTTATATGGCACAAGATCGGATTTCTTATATTTTCTTCAAGGGCAGTTGCACTCGTAGATCACTGTGTCCTGAAAGTCTTGTTGCCCAACTAAACCTCCAGGTTTTGTGTTAGTCCTATGTTCCCTGCACCTTGCAATTCACCTGCTTATCTGATGTCTTCAAAGCCCCTTTGCACCCCTCTATCAGCTCTCCTCATTTGCACAACAGTGAAGACTCTAAGATTTACTCTTGACACTGCTAAAATGCAAAACTCCATTAAAAAAATATAAATAAATAAACAAACAAAGATTCAGTCACAAATAATCTTTTCACAGCACATAGGAATTGCCATAGGGAGCGCACAGAGCAGGCAAAAGCAACTTACCTATCAGTGGGACAGAGTCAGAAGTTGCAGGCATGATCTCAGCCACAAGCAGCATGAACACGGTCAGGGAGAGCAGGACAGTGATACCTGCAGAGAATGAGCAAAGAGGGGAAGGTTGAGGAACGTGATCTCTGATGCTCTCCTGTGATGTCTGTGCTGACAAATACAACCTTGTCCTGGTCTACAGCTAAGCCAAATGCATGATTTTGTGCTTGTCAGGACAGATGAGAGCTTCCACCAAGTGAGAGTATCTTTGAATGCATCTTTATCCATTCTCTTTCCCCTTGTCACAATTACACTCCAAACTTTGTACCCCTTAAAGTAATGGAGAAGTTTTTGTTGCTGATTGAAATGCTGGTCTTGTAAAACTGGGCTCAAACAAAGCCCAGCCAGTTTTTAAGAGCCTGCAGAGACTTCACAGTCAAAAGTAGTCTTTGTCTATTGCTCATGGTATAATGCCCCCCTAACAGCTGTAACCCCACTTACATGTAGCTCTTTATTTGTTTCTTCTGGAAAGGCTGTTGTAAAAACTCACTGTCCTGTTTTACAGCCTGCATGAGCATTATTTCCTATTTTTGGTACTGCCTTTTACCTCAAATAATTCCTTTTGTTGATCCCTCTCCCTAATTTTTATAAACAGCAGTCTTATACCTCTTAGCTCTTGTTTTACTTGATGTAAGCCTGGCCGCTCAACTCCCTGATTTCTCTATGGACCTTCAGTGTCCATGTTTTTTTTTTTTTTCTGAATGTCTTTGTCCAGACCAGTTTTGTGCATAACATAAAAATTAAGGTCTCACCTGCGCCAGCTTTGTGTGTTTCTCACTTCCCCCTGTCTTCTGCTCTTGGAAGTACATATAATAGTGTATCACATTTAACTCCTCTTAGGCTGTCACTTCTTTGCATTTCTGGGGAACTCGCTGCCTGCTGATTTGGGACCTTGGGCATGGGGAAGATGATAATCCAATACTCAATCACTGCTGCTCATGACCCTTTAGAAAGCCTCTCCACCTCTCTGTGTCTTAGTATATTAGCTGAAAAAAGGAGCTAACCAGCTGTGAAACGCATTGGGATGCACTAAGGAAAAGAGCAGCAGTGGAGAGAGTGTCATCATTGTTGCTTGTGGCAGTGAAAATTTTTGCCTCATCCCCAGGATAAAATCAAAAAGATGATGTCAGTAGAAGTACTTAGCACAGTATGTGTTAATGTCTTGCAGAAAGTTGTTATCCTTTTTTCTCCAACCAAACAAGCGCTTCAGCTGCTCCTCCAGGGAAATCTTTTTTATCAAGCATCATGAGGCATTTATTCCCCATTCTATGGAGAAGACTTAGGAAGGAAATGAATTTTCTTGCACTTACCTAGAGAAATCTTCTCTCCTGAATCAGCTGGCAAGAGGAAGACGAGCAATGCCAAGGCAGAGATAAGAACGCAGGGAATCAGCAGGTTCAAGCCATAGTAGAGTGTGCGTCGGCGCATGGTGACAGTGTATGTCACATCTGGATATGGCTCCTTACAGCATTCATAATACATCTCATTCCTCTTTCCTGGCACAGCTGTAGAGAAGGGACACGATGGTCAGCACCCCCATTCACTCCCAGGAAGAGGACAAGCCCATGATGGTTTACGACACCTCCGACCAGTGCTCCCTCACTGGAGCACAAAGGTGCTCTGCAGATGATATGCAGGAGAGTGCCACTAGTTGTTATTTTTCTGTTATTTTTCTCTTATATCGTACTTGCTTTGCTTAACCAGGAAAAACAAATACGACTTCTGTTTTCAAAAGGGGTGCTAAGTCAAGCTTAAAGTCTGTTACCTCCAAGGTTAAGAGACATAACTATACAACACATCTGTACTGTGGGGCTTGTCAACGTGACCATATTGCAGAAGACCCTGTTTGGCAGGACCATCTAAGACCCTGCTTGGCAAGGACAGCAGCAGCAGAGAAAATGCAGGGGAAGCTGGAAAAGCTCCATGTCTTGTATCCTTGCTGTCACCGTTGCACACCTCCCATGTCTTGTTGTCTACACAACAGAAGATGCTATGGTGTGTGTGTCCTGGCAGGAATGTGGCAAAATCTCCATAAAATATGTGTCCAAAGCTGGTTTATGGTCTCAACTATAGTTACATGAACCAGCTAAGGGCCAGCTCTGTCCATGCCCTATCTGGGATGAAAACAGATAAACTAAAGACCAGGCTCTACATCAGGTACACAAAGCCATTGGACTTTGCACTATATGCACTATAAAGGAGTATGTGGAAGCCAGGATTGCTCTGAAATGGGCTGATTTTAGAAGATGTCCTTGCCTACCCCCTTGGCCTGGCAGATGAAATGTCCTGTCCTCGAGTTCTCTGTAGGGTGGTCTAAGCTTTGTCGATTCCATAGCGTTGCTTCTGATTTACACGTACATCAATGAGTTCATAATAAAACCTTGGAAGGTAGCTCTGAATACCTAATTCTCGGAATAGGATCCTCTTTTTAAGAAAACAGGTCTCTTCTGAAGCACAGAAGAGAACAGAGACATCCTGAGCTGCAGTTATTTGCATGAACCGATAGACACTTTGATCATTTTGTGGGCAAGAGGAATTAATTTCTGTAAAAGCTTACACCAATTTTTGCTGAAACAGTGTTTTTTAACCCAATCATTTTTGGCTGATGTGGTAGAGTAGATGTGACGTTATGCTCAGTGTGCCTGTATGAGACACACATCCAAATTTAGTACTGACAAAATGCGCAAATGTATCAGGACTAACAGATCCCTTTTACGCTCCCCTTAATTTCATGCTGCTGCTGCAGAACACAGTGTTTTCAGAGCCATTTCAATGAACATGTTTGAAAAATTCTCTCTAAACAGTGATTTTTTTTCTCTTTTTCCTAACTTTTATTTAGGAGCTTTTAACATTTCTATTTCATGCTTCCCAGTTGGACTGCTCATTTCTCTATGCTTGCGTTTTGCCTTTGAAAATTAGACTGTTGAAGATTTGAGCCCTTCAATTTACCCACTAAATCCCATTCTCCATTTGAGATGTAGTTAGAAATATCAGCCTCAAGCATCTGCAGATCAAGTAGCCAGCCACTGTGGGTCCAGGAGCCGAACTTCAAATCACACTTCTGCACATCAAAAGGGAACCAGCGAACATCGATGTAACATGTGCTCTTCAAAATGCCTGTGGATAGAAATGGATGGAATCAAATGTGTACAGGGTGTGGTCCGTCAAATGGGGAATAATTTGGAATAATTGTTTCTGCCATCTCCTTGACACACCCAGTAATGTGAATTCCACTATTAAGACATCTACCTGAACAGTTTTGTGCTTTGCAGTGGCGCTCGAGCTGTGCCTCTTGAAAATCAAATCTCCAAAACAGAGTTTCATTTATTATTGCCGACACTGGCTGTTGCAAAGGCTGCGGATGTTGTGCATGATCATTTTCCTGCACAGACAGGGCTGTTCTGGGTGGCTCTGTTCCTCCCATTTGTTCCTTCATGCTCAGGTAGGTCTCTCTCCTGCTGTCATGTCCCTTTTTGGACTGGCAACAAGGAGCCTTTCCTCCCATTTCCTTCTGAATCTTGGCCCTGCTCCCTTAACCACTGGCTGCTGTCCTGTCCTTCATCTCCGCTCCTCCACCAGCCACATGTACCACAGCTTGTTTCTCTAATGGACAGTAACAGCGAGTACTGCCTCCTCTTACAGGCAAGGGAAATAAAACTTTCATGAAGCCTTAGGAACACTCTTTTCCCCTCTGCAGTATTTTGCTGTGTCTCAATTAATCTAGCTGCTGGTGCTGTCAGGTAGGCTGATTATGAACATTTTTCCTTCAAAAAAGGATTGGACAAAATATTTTACCAGCAGTTAAAATCTTGTAAGTAAAGATGTGCTTTGCACAAAAGCTTTTCTTTACCCCTTAGTCCTAAGCTTCTTCTTCCTTGGGCTCTCAAGTAAGCAGCTCTCTACAATGGAGCTTGCTGTTCTCTCTGGTTGGCAATCTGCACACATGGTCCTGCTTCTCCTACTCCATTGGCAGGAAAGGAACTAATAGGGGCACCAGATCTCCCTAATATCAACACAGCCTGCATGACCCACCTAAACAGACCCTGTGGAGATGGAAAAGGCTCTGCCCTGGTGAATGTTGTCTTTTCATGCTTCTGCGCCCTGGAGAACAGCCTTACCCACAGATCTGCCCCAGAGAAACCACACAAGCATTTTAAGTGACCTCAGGATAGGGTTCACCACCAAACCCCAGGACTTACTTGGAGTCAGCCTTCCAACAACTACCTCAAAGCCTGGATGCTTCTTGACCACCACAGCAAGCAACAATGGGAATAGCCTGACTGTTTGCTGCTAGATTCCTAGTGCCAAGACTCTACAAGCACTGGAGTCAGCAGTATGCCTGGAAAACAGGCAAGGACCATCATCGGGAGTGGTCTCAGTTCCTCTTTTCAAGAGTTACAGGCTCAGCCTAAGACTTCAAACAGTGCTTGGAGGAACAGTGCTTGGGGGAACAGTGCTGCTCACGGGACACCTCCTGTAGTTGCATCTCTCTTCACTCACACGAAAGAGCTAGCTGGGTTGTACATGAAACCTCCCCCTGTGAAAACAGCACTTTGCCTTAAATGTACCTCTGCTGGTCTCTGAATGTTGGAAGAAAACTGCTCAGGAAATGTATTTGTTCATTTCTGAAGTGGAAGTTTGCCACTAATAATAGACCTAAATTACTTCAGCAGGTCTGTTCCATAATAGATCGCTTGCAAAATTTCTACATACAGACATTTCTACAATTGCTTGGATTTCACTCATAAAGGAAAACTGTTTGTTATTATTCAAAGCTACACATTGATTTAAAGCAACAAAACATGTTCTCCGTACCTGGAGGAATATATTGACAAGATCCAGAGTAATTCACCAGCACATTTGTGTGAAACGTCGCATCAAATCTTTCATCAGCACTGCAACAAAAATGCGAACAAAGAGCCAACAGACATAAGACTTTGAATATAGTAACTGTGAACAGAACAATAACATTTTAGCAGAATTTTATGCACTGGATGTCTGAGTTAAGGGCTGTCCTATGCCTAGTCAAAGGACCCACTCCCATTAGCAGATCAGTCTTTCATGATGCATGGGGCCAATGCTGAAAGCGCTGGCAAGAAGCTATTTCCGATCTGGGGGATAAAGGGGAAGACTGGCTGAGCCTGAAAGAGCATAAACCAGGTAAAAGGGACCAAGAAAAAGGGGATTTCTGGAGGATTCCAGCAATTCTGAAGAGAAGAAGTAATCTCCAAGGATCAAGACTATGGGCTCACGTTAGAGTGTTTCTTGGGAAGAGGCTAAGTGCAGAGGGTTCCTATGTGTACAAAGGTTTGACACATAGTGTGAAGGTCCGTCGTGTTTAAGCATGACTCCATCATGTTAGCGAGCACCTCCTGTGTCATGGCCAGACATGAGTCCATCATCTGGTTACTCATAAATGAACACAAGAAGGAATCAAAAAAAAAATATATGGGGAAAAGAATACATGGCTAAAGATGAACCAAAACAGAACAGCACAAACAAATGAGGATAAAATCGAAAAGCTGAGGTGATAACTGGCCAGAGACATAAAAGGCAGCAAGATTCATGCAATGACAGGAGTGCAGGCCTGAATAGGGGGTGAATAGGTTAAAGAAGTGTGCATACATTAGACTCCCTTTGGCACATCTGATAAAATTTACTCTGGAACACTGAAGGAACTGGCCGAAATATTCTCTGAAGCATTAACAATTATCTGTGAGAGCTCATGGAAAATAAGAAAGGATGTAGTGAACCAGAGGTGATCAAAGAAAATTCAGATTTTTTAAAAAAAGTCTGAAGTTATAGGCATATCAGCCTAACTTCAAAGATAATAAGATGATAACAGCCGGCGTGGATTTGTCAAGGGCCAATTTCATCAAATCAAACTAATTTTCTTCTCTCTCAGAAGATGATTGACTCACTGATTAGGAGAATACAGGAAATATATCTGGACTCCAGAAAGCCTTTGACACATAAGGTTCTTATATGCAAACTATAGAACCAGGGAGCAGACTGGATGCTTGCTGGTGGGAGGCTGAATCTGGCTGAGTTGCTGTCATGAGCTCATAGCCAAACTGCGAGGAGTAAAGCTAAAATAAAGGAAAAACCCTTATATGATTTTCAAGTGAATACAAGTTTCCTTCAGACTCCTGAGGGTGAGGGTTTTCAAGAGAAAATAGATCTTGGCAAACCAAGAGAGAGACCAACAGAATGAAATTCAGTCCAGATGATTGCTACATATTCCCCTTAAAACTGGCAGAAAAACACAAAAAGTCTGAAGAACAAGGTCTGGAGTTTATGATGGATCAAAAAACAAGCCCAGAAATAAGAGTGTAGAAACAGAAAACCCTCCTTCAAGAATTAATCAAAGGAAAGGTATGGACGGATGTGGAGATTACTGTATCACTCCACTGCACAATGCAGGAGCCTTGGCTAGACTGCTGAATCCTGTTTTGAAGAAAAAAAAAACAAAGTGGAGTGTTTAAGAGGAGAAGAGATTTAATGGAAAGAGATTTAGAAAATGTGAATGATGAGAAGCACAAAGAAATCGGGCTTGTTTAGCCCAGGCAGGAAGACTAAGACAGAAACATGATAATAATTTTCCAGGGGAGACACGGAAATTACAAAAGAATATGGATTACCACTGTGCAAATGGAAGGAAGACATCCACAAAATTATAGAAAAGGAGATTTAGCTTGGATATTACAAAAACAAACAAACAAAAAAGAAAACTATTATCTGGTACTTGTTCTCATTTATTTTCATTTTTTCAAGAGAAGGAGCCAAAATCCCCAGGTAGCAAAATCCCCAGAGCATTAGTGGAGCATGGCTGATTTCCAGCATCCACATGTCTGGTGGCTGCTGCATATCCTGCTTACCTGTTATACAGAAGAATGTCTGGCACCCAAATCTGATCAGCTGGAAATCGCAAGTTCTGCACCCCTGGGTATTCATACTGATCCCAAGACAGGTAAACATCCACCCAGTACTGTTGGAAAATACATATATCAGATCCATGAGCTGGGAGAAATCTTCTAACTGATTTGGAATATTAGGGGAACGGAATAACTGCCACCAATAGTAATGCAGTAATGTGATAACAGCTATATAGCGTATAGTGATAGGCTTTAATAATTAAAGAAGGCTGACATATATCCTGAAGAATTCACAGTGTGATGACTGGATGTTGTGTGCTATTACATGGTAGTTTACTGTCTAACCTGTCCACCCTAAGACCTGAATACAGATATTTCAAACCTTTTCTTGATGAATTCACAAAAATCCTGGTAGTTGGCTGGTGGACCAATCTGGTTTCAAGTAAATTGGGTATCATTAGTGGTACATGGACCACTGTCTGGGAATCTCTGATGGAAGTAATTTAACTGATCACAAAGATTTTGCAACAGGGGCATCTTGCTATCACAGGCAGGAAAGTGAACTCTGTCTCAAGGGGTTGATTCTGGTTCCTTTTTCTCCCATCCCAATGCACAAAATTAGTTCCAGAAAAGTGTTGGTGCAAGTTTTGTGCTGAACCCTGCAACCTGCAACAAACCTCTATGGCAGCACCACCAGGAAAACAGTTACCGGTGCTATAACCATAGCCAGCCTCTCCCAGGAACAGGACATCCCCTAGTACTACAGAATTGTCTGAATTCTGCATTTTTGCAGTAGGAAAGCTCATTTCTGTTGCAAACTCCAGTAGACAGCTGCGGAGGAAGCAGCCTGCTCTGCTGTGCCCATTAGCATGATGCAATGTTTGGCTGCTAATGTCACAGCAGAATTAGCTCAGTCATTTGAGTCTCTCTCCAGCTTTTCGCTCCAGAGCTGCCTCCTTACAGAGCACAGATTCCTTGGCAGAGCAGTTCATGTCCCTACAAGAGTAGACCATACCTATAACCACACAGGGCCAGCAGCAGACTTAGAGTTAAGGAGTTTTTTCACTCTTTATTGACACAGGTTACTCACCATTTGCAGCCAAGCGTTTGTGATCAACACCTGGTTCTTCTCATCCTTTAAACAAGAGAGGGGAGGGGAGAGAAGAAAAAAAGAGATGAGCCACAAAATACAATCTGATCACAGGGGGACACGTTACTGTTTTGTTCCTTTTGAAACTCTGATTCTTACAGAAAATGCATGCAAGCACTATGGAATAGACCGCAAGCTCAGCACAGAGTCACTGAATTGTGCCACCTGGCCTAGAACATTATGGTTCTCTTTGATCCTAAAAACTTACAAACCTCTTGTGTTTATTGCAACTGAGAAAAAAGGGAATTGAAAATAATAGATAATGGCTGTTATTTTGCTGGAGACTCCTTAGCAAATATACAGTATTTTCCTTTTCATTAGGTGAGCAAAGCAAGATGATTTCCAGTACCATGCATCATGCAGGAAATGGAGAGTGTTTCTATTGTTTTTGCTGCTGCTGCAAAACCATAGTGAAAGGTGCTGCTGCTTTAGAGTCTTGGCATAGTGTAGCTCAGCTCACGAAGAAAAGGAAAGGCTGGCCTTCATCAAAAGCTCCATACGGCAGGAGGACACAGACATCATCTGAAAGGAGCTCGTATGGACACCCTGAGTCTGAGATACTGTGTGGGACAATGTGGTCAACGTGATGAGATCCACCTCTGCCTCTGGAGAGATCTGCAGAGAGATCCACACTTGTTGGAAAGCTTCATTAAAGCAAGGACACACTTGCCCACAGCAGAGGGATATACCTTGCATCTGTGGAATTCTTTATCTCTATATGCCTATATCTGTATCTCTGTATCCAAAGAGATATACCTTGTACTTGTGATTGTACCTCATGCCTAGAGACCATTGCACCATGATTTGACTCCCCTTCTTAATAACACACAGAAATGAACCACTGTATTGGCCTCCAAAATCTACTCTTTTTTTCTTAATTAGACACAGTCTTTACCTTCCATTGTTTTCTTCCATTCTGCCGCAGCCAGTGAGAAGCATCAGACACAAAACTCGTGCTGAGAACACAGGGGCTAGTTACATTACAGGGAAGACATGATGATCACTGGAGCTGAGAGTTACGTTTTAGCAGCAGAGAAAGCAGCTGTGGAGCTCTGCAGTTAACGCCGTGAGCTGTAGCAATCAAACCTCTAGCTCCAACACTAAAATATATTAGTGTGGGAAGCCAGTCACCGATGGGATGCAGTAGCTAGCACTCATAATGGGATTACGGTAAGAGCTGCCAGGCAGAGATCTTCACAAAGGCACAACTGATCCTCTGAATTTCTCAATAGCATGGTTTGTACATCAACACCCTGACCTCCATAACCATGAGGTAAACTACGACCTTGAAGTAGTCTTGGATTTTGCATTGGATTGATCTTTAAATATATTATTTTTGACAACACTTAGGCCTTTCCTCTTTCTGAGCTCTGCAAAAGGAAGGACTGTCTCCAGACCCACTGAGCCCCATGGGGAAGGGGAAGAGGGGACCTTCCCCTTTCCTTTGGCTACCTGAGTGCCATGGTAAAGTGCAAGGTATACCTGGAAGCCTAATGGCTTTTCTGCATGGGGAGAGGCCTTTTATTTATGATTCTCCTTTTCCAGGAAAATCTTTTTTTTTTTTCACCCCACATAAGCATTTTACACTTGACAGACTCCATGCCAGCAAAAAAAACACCGAGACTGACTTCCATAGGTCATGAAACAGTCTACAGCCCTAAACTGCTCACCCAACTTCTAGGAGCAACTTAGACTCGGGAGCTAATGACATTGTCAATCAGCTTTCACTTCAAACAGTTCATCAGCTGCTGCAGGGGAAATACCCATAGTATTTCAGGCAGCTTAAACATAGTATTTTGGGTGCTCCTTGCCTCCTTGTCACGGGTCTAGTGTGCTCAGCCCCACCATGTCCATCCTGTTTCTTGCAGTCTTGCAGGCGAAGGTGAACTTTCCCATCCGAGTTGCCACAGGTTGATGTGCAGTGTAACCCTTCTCTGTGTGGTCTCTCTGCCATGCCTTTTAATAACAGCAGTCAGCAGAACACAAAGTTTAACCAGGGCTTTGGGCTTCTTACGTCTCTCTCAGCCTTGCGGGGAGAGACGTGTCACTTTGGGCTGCTTTCATGGCTATCCACAGTCTATTCTCATTCCTGCCTTCAGGCTGCTGAGCTTTCAAAGGGAGTTGGCTTTCTGGACAGCAAGGCCCAGGAAATGTTATTTCTGTATTCAGCACCAATCAGCACACAGATGACAGCGCAGATGCAGACTGCTGGGTCCTTCCTGTGGCAAGGTGAAGCAGAAAGTTTTCCCAGGAAGGATTTGAGTTTGCCCAGAGTGGCTTATTTGCCAGGATAGCAAAGCATACTTTATACTGTAGTCTCTCAACTCTGTGGTCTGTACTAAAGATCTTCAGCATAGCTAAGGAGAGTAAATATGAGATTCACAGAGAAGAAAAAGCACTGCCTCTTAGTGCAAGGCTTTTCTCAGGGCCCAGGTGCTTCTCATTTCTGGAGGTTTGGTCATTTCCTGGGGTCCCCACTCACTGGAGCAAGCAGCCATCCCCTCCAGGGTCCTAGGTGAGGATGGAGACAGGGGCAACCAGGTCCACGGAGCCGCTTCCCCAGCACTCCCCTGGCAGGTCCCTCAGGCTGTACATGTTCAGCCCAAACGCATCATTTGCTGCTGGCAGTTACACAAGCTGGAAAAGCTAGTGTCAGTAGCGAGCACAGTTGTTCTCTAAATCCTTCCTTTCCTTAACTGGGTCATTTTCTCCCCTTTCTATCCACATCCTCACCCAAGCTAATCCTCTGACCTGGACATCTGTCTATTCCTACTGCCACCCTCAACCCATGGAGAGCAAGAAACTTAGGCTTATTCTAGCTCAGAAGCTGGTACACATGCAGGAACATGTGAATATTTTTGCTTTGTTCTGTTTTCTCTCAACAAATACGGGGGATATCTCAAGATTTCTGCTGGATAAGAGAGAGGTTGTTTTGACATGGAGGTTTTCTTTAAGAAATTTTGCTGTCAAACACACTTGTCTCTGCATTGGATTTTGCTCAAAAAAAATCAAAGCAATGGCTGAGGCTTTCAAATGCTTGTAGGGTCAGTCTACATCTGCACCATGCAGTCCTTTCCTTTGCTGAAGCACTCTTCTGGCCTGGAGCTGATTAACTAAAACATTCCCCTGGCCCAAAGAACGTAAATAACTAGAGAGGACTCAGCTTTAATGTTCTGTATGGTTGAAGTTCCACAAAACCAGAGATCTTCAGAAAAAAGAAATGGGTTGCCCTGGTAACAGTTAGGCGGCATAGCTGGACAGGCTTTATATTACAGGGGTCTCATAAATACTCATGTGTTTAAGGTTTGACATCTGAAAGCGTCGGAAAAAAGTAGGAATGCATGCTTCCATAGTAACATCAACTTTGAAGAGATACCTGACGCTAAAGTACTTCAGCTCTCTACCATTAACGAATCTTCGGGAGGAGGAGAATCCGAAGGGATAGCCTAGAGAGCAGGCAAAGGGACGAAGGAAGGTAGAGATATAGTAGAATAAAGAAAGATAAACAAAAGTAGCATTTCTGTGGAGCATTTCTGTGCTCATGAGGGCAGAAACATGGAGGGGCTGGTTTGGGCACAATAAGGGGGCCTTATGGCTTTCTTAAGTGCTCATGGCTGAAAACCAGCTCCTTCCCGCATGGTGCATTTTGGTGCTTTGAGCTTCTTCTGCTATGGAGGGCTGTAGGCGATTTCTCCTAAGTGCTTTTCACCTCAGGGTGACCCAAACTCACACCGCACACCCTGCGTTTGCCCTCTGCGCGGGCTCACAGCGCAGAGGCTGCCAAACCCACGGGTTTTTGCTCCGTCTCCCTTGTTGCTGGCTCTTCGTCAGCGGGTCGCTCGGCCGCCTCACTCGAGTTTCGCTAGGAAACCTCTCGAGCAGGGGCACAGGGCGCACGTGGCTTTCCAGCCCAGCACTGCTCTCCAACCGACTGCTCGGGTGAGCTCACATACACCCTTGGTGAAGCGGGGTTGTGTCACAGCCTGAAATCGCTCAGCCCTCTGTTAAAATAGCGAGTCATCTACACAGAGCGTGGAGGTGGTTTTTGTATTCTCCAGGGTGAATGTCTCATCCTGAAATAGCCCTCCGTGTGCTCTGTGCACTGTTGGCAGGTGTTTCAATAAACAGGACTAGGCACAAATCGCTGTTCCATGATATTCATTATTCATCGCTTTTTTTCGTATTCAAAATCACAGGAAACCACAGGAAAGAAGGCAAGAAAAGGTCCCATGGTACCTAGGTCAACCCTGAGTTCTTATTAAAGGCATACTCGTGGTTTATTTGCAAGTAGTTTACTTTTTGCTGGCAAGTTTGCTTTTTTTTTTTTTTCCTTGCATTTATGTACTGTTAAGGCAGCACAGCAAAGTAGTGTGATATAGGCCCACTCCAAAACTCAAGTGAGCTTTTAAAGCCTTTGACCACCCTGAATAGAGCAATTCACAGGCCTTTTATTCTAACAGGGCCATCAGAAGTCACTTTTCCTCATTCTCCTCAGCTTTCCAATTTTTTTTAACACTGCATTTGTTAGCCCTCTTCACTGACACTGAGTCAGATTGATATGTGTTTCACCTGCCCTTTTGACACGTTTTGGGTTCCTTCGGGCATCCTGTGAACATCAGACAACCAGGAAACACAGGATTAGGCTCACTTCGGGTCAGCCTGGCTTTGCCCTGGCAAGGAGACCCTTGGCCACCCCAGTGGACTTCTGGGTGGCTGGGGACTGAGAGCTTCACCAGAAGCAGCTTAAGGAGATGTGTCTTGCTGCCCTGCCTCACATGCATGGCTGGAATCGCCTTCCTTTGCCAAGGCAATACCCTTGCTTACAGATGGTATAGATCCATTGGGATCTATAGGTACCATCACCAGTGCTTTCAGGACACCATGATATTTCTCACCCTGCAGATGTCCTTCTCACTGTTTCGTAACTTTGCTGGGCTCCAGTGCTGAGTCCTGATATATTCTGAATATCCAGAGTCAGGATACTA